ACTCTGAGAACCTTGATAGAACCCGTTGTGCAGGTCATTTATCCCTAGTACACACCTGTCATTAATTCTTCACCCAGACTTCATGCTTGTGATCTTGAACCTTTGATCATGTTACTTTTGATCTGCATCCTATTGCATGGCATTGCATATCATTTGCATCATTTGCACGATTCATTATATACATCCAGTTTGTCCAACAACTCATTCCAGTTGTCTCTATATTCCAGTCGTCACGCTGATTCCTCATCACCAATACAGGACTAGAGCTAACATCAGACACATAATGTCAAAACAAGAACAACCACACATAGATCAGAATGGATATTGATGATCTGAAGTCAGGCATGACTAAGTTTACTGAGATGCTCCAAGTCCTGATTGCCAGAGGGGAGCAACCTCAAAGAGCTGTTATCTAAGAGGTTTCAGGTGTTGATACTGATCCTCAGCCTGTCCAGATGCCACCTTCTACTTGGCCAGAGTTTGGTTTACCCCGTAACTACTCACCACCTATTGCTACTACTTCTATGATTGGGCAAACTACCTGACCAGTATTTCAAGCTTCTATTTTCTTCAAGCCTAAAGTTGTGGTTCATACTATTATCCATAATGCCCGAGCTCCCTATGAGACTCATCTCTTTGAGTACAACACTGCTAGTGCTTAAGGTGCAGATCACGAAGATTTCATTGAACCTGATGTTGCCCGTGAACATTTTCAGATTATAGACAAGAGACTCAGAGCCGTGGAGGGTACTGATTTCTTTAGTGTTTATGTAGACAACATGTGCATTGTATCTGACCTTGTAATGCCTATCAAATTCAAGACTCCCGAGTTTGTGAAGTACAAAGGTCATTCCTGTCTAAGAGCTCATATGGTTATGTACTTCAGAAAGATTGCTGCTTACGCCAAGAACCAGAAGTTGTTCATCCATTGCTTTCAAGACAGTCTGAGTGGAACTTCATTCAAGTGGTACATGAACCTTAAAAAGAACAGTATCCAGTGTTTCTAGGATCTCGCTAATGCCTTTGTGAAGCAATACAAGTACAAACCTAACATGACTCCCGATCATCGTCAACTCCAGAATATGTCACAGAATGAACGAGAATCTTTCAAAGAGTATGCTCAGCATCAGAGAGAACTACATTCCCAAGTTGAACCCCCTCTGGAAGAGAAAGATTGTCCATATGAGTCATACTATGAAAAATTACAAGATGAAGAGACTTGGCAGTTAAGAAAAATTATGGACAAGCAAACATACAACATAAATTATAAGGTTAGGTTCTTTAATTCCAAATGGTTAGCCAAAAAGATTCAAAGGAATATAAGAGAGAATCCTACTTAAAGTTGATTGATATAATGGAGAAAACAAAACAAAAGTGGAATTTAGGGATCAATAAGACACTTGCATACAGAGCACAGTCACTCACTGTTGACATTGTTGATGGTTCATTTAGGGAGAAATATACAATAATCCATGATTATGATCATGAGCTATTAAGGGTAAACCCTAGATCAACCGTGAAAATTACAAGTCAACCAATTCAAGGTGGAGAGGAAAGTAGTGAGAATTCTGAGAGGTATTTGAATCCAAATTTACAAAGGATTTATATATGCATCAAAACTTGCAATGATAGTTTCTTCGAGTTAAAACATATCATAGGATTAAATGAGTGTTTTTTAAAGGGCTATTATGATGGACAAATACTTGCATCCATTGGGAGGGATCCGAATGACCAAATGCTGCCAATAACATTTTTTATAATTGAGGGAGAAACCAAAGATTCACGGAGTTAGTTTTTTGAGCTATTGACATCTGATTTGGCAGGTGTTAGATTATGCAAGACTTATACATTTATAAGTGATCAACAAAAGGTATTGACATCTGACTGGTTTGTTATAATTATTATTTACACATTAAATAGTTATAGACTTATATATTCATGACTGTAATGCAGGGTTTGTTGCCTGCACTTGATGAGTTGCTACCAGAGGTTGACCAAAGGTTTTATGTTAGGTAATCATTATGGTTAAGTCATATTTGATGTGTGTTATTCTTGTTAGGTACTGATGTGAATATTTGATGTGTGTTATTCTTGTTAGGTACTGATGTGAATATTTGATATGTATATTACTATTAGGCACTTATATAACAATTTCAGGAAGAAGTTTTCAGGTGTTAAATTAAAGGAACTGATGTGAAAAGCTGCTACTGCTACTCATGCAAATTCTTGGAAAAAGAATGGTGAAATGAAAAGTATTAATGAAGAGACATTCAAGCATTTGTGGAAGATTCCACCAAGGTTATGGAGCAAATAAAGGTTTAGAACTAGTCCAAAGTGTGATACTTTAGTGAACAACATGTTAGAGGCATTCAACTAAGTATTTATAGTTGTAAGAGCCAAGCCTATTGTGACTATGAATGAAGAGATAAGAGTGTACCTGATGCAAAGGTGGGAGTCCAATACACAGAAGATTGCCAAATATGATGATAACACTATACCAAATATAAAAAAGAAGTTGGAAAAGGAATCACAAAGAACAAACAATTGAATTGTTAGGTAATGCTTCATACTTGTTTGAGACATTAATAGTTGAGTTGATATAACATTGTTCGTACTGGTTCATAATTATTTTTTGCATTTGTAACAGGTGTGCAGGTGAATTTGACTACGAGCTTAGACATATATTATTCAATAGAGAAAAGTTTGTTGTTAATCTATCAAAGAATGAATGCTCATGTAGAAGATGGATGCTGATAGGACTGCCATGCTGCCATGCAATTTTCATGCATGAAAGATCAAATTTGCAAGTTGATGATTTTGTGCCTGATTATTACTAAAAAACTGCTATGAGGCTTGCTATGCACCAATGATTTATCCAGTTAATTGGGAATCTCTTTGGACAAAAATAGATGCTGTTGACCTGCAACCACTCCCCATAAAAGGCAACCTGGTAGATCCAAGAAGAAAAGGAACAAGAAAGCTGGAAAACAAGTGAGAAATGAGTCACAACTCAAATGAGTAAATTTTGGTATCAAATGCAGTCGATGCCATAGGGATGGTCACAACAGCACCACATGTAAGTTGCGCATAACTTCAAGTCAACCTACCCCAACTGTTGTTGCTACTCAGCATAACCCAATTGTTGCTGATACTCAGTTGCTGCTGCTACTCAGCCTAGCCTAACTACTACTTCTCAGCCTATTCCAACTAGTGCTTCAAGTCAGCCAACTCCAATTGTTGCTTCAAGTCAGCTATCACTACCTGCTGCTTCAAGTCAGCCACCACTGCTTGCTGCTTCAAGTCAGCCAACACCAACTGAGTTTTCATCTCAGTCAACACCAGCTAGAGGTTCAACTCAACCACCACAAAAAAAAGACTTCAAAAAGGCCTAAAACCTGTTCTTAGCCAACCCTAATAGTTATGCTTTGTTTTGTTATGTAACATATGACCTACAATTCCTATTTTGTTGTTTATGACTTATGGCTTATAATGCCACTTTTGTTGCTTGTGTTATGTAACATATGACTTACAATGCCTATTTTATAGTTTATGACTTATGGTTTATAATGTCACTTTTGGTATGATTTATAATGCAACATTTCACTAATAACATCATGACAAATTCACTTCATTCATAAACTCATTACATAGAGGTTCATTTGTAATAAATACAACATTCAACACTAAGCTCAATATTCCAACCACAAGGGACACTTTCAACCATCCTCTAATTTGAAAGATCTGATTCTTCAATTTGTACAATTTCTTCTTTTGCCTTTGAATCTTCAGATCCCTTTCATCAATAATGTCATCATCTAACCATTTAAAAAAATTACATTCCATGTGCATATGATTTCTGTAATCTGTACAATCCAAAATTTCCCCTAAAATTAACACTGTTCATGTCACATATAATACGAAGGACACATTCTTCTTTGCAATAACACTCCCTCCTCTTGTTTCTACGAATAACCAACCCATCTGTTCCAATGGAAGCACTGTTTGACAACTTTCACACTAAAGAAGATGAAGTTGAAAAACCCTAGAAACAGATAAAAGATGAAATGAAAGTTTAACACAACCTTGATTTTAACGAAAACAAGATAAACGATGAGATTGAGAAAGAAAAAACACAACAACACAACTTGAATCAAATGCAAACATACACTTCCTGGAATCACGTTTGAATATCTAGAAAGAAATAATAGCCATGTTTGATATAAGTGATGCCCTTAAATAATATTTTTTTTAATTCTTTTTCTGAGTTATTACACAATTAACACGTCATGTTGACAAAAACTAACATTTTTTCAGCTAAATTAACAAAATGAATCAACGTTACTAACAAAACTAATATTGCGGAATCAAATAACAATTTTTTTATTAACGGAATAAAGGAAAATTTAAAATTAACTTATAAGAAGTGAGACTAATTATGCCAAAAGAAAAATTATGCCAAAAGAAAAAGGGAAATTTATTTGGGTCACGTGAGGTGCATGAATTTGAGATATAAAGGAAGAGTCAGTCTCGTTAAGTCACTACCACTCCCGCAATCGCTAATCAAAACTTGAAACCCTAACATTCCAATCCCAATCGATAGGTTTGCATCCATTTTCTCTTCCCTTTTCGATTCAATCCATTTTTATCCTTCATTGCGTAATGCTTACTTTGTTTGATTGGAGGTGTGATTATCTTTTTCGGCTTTTAGGGTTTTTTCTCCCTTTTCACAACCGCGCAGATTTTTTCAATTAATTTTTTTGGATCATTGTTTTACTCATTATTTGTATTTTAGGTTATCGTTCTCTATGCTGTTTTATTCTGTGTACATTGATAACCTGATTGTGTTAAAACTTAATATTATCCTTTTTAACATTATATTCTGGGTTTATATTTTGCTATAGGGTGTGTTACTGTCAAATGCATTTATAATTGATTTACAATGTTTTTTAGGCCAATTTTCGCAGTGAGAAACCTAAAATTAGGCATTAGGTTTAGTTGCAATGGCTTCAAAACGTATTACTAAAGAGTTGAAGGATCTGCAGAAAGACCCTCCCGTGTCATGCAGTGCTGGTATGTTCTCCCCCTTTCTCTCTCATCCATTCCTGTTGTTTCTATATTTCAGATCATAGTCTGGATCATTAATTTCTAGTGTGTACAAATATTGTCATATCTTTGTTGACTCCTCATTTATATGTGGTTAATCTGCTTGTTCTGTTTGCAAGTTTTGAATACGGCTTGCTATCATTTAACATGCCATAGCCATACAGTTTAAATTACTTGAGGCGCAATTGTTCTAAAGCCGCCTATTCATTTGGGTTATACCTGAACAAAATGCAAACTATTTGGGAGTTACATTATACCTGGACAAGATGCAAACTATTTGGGAGTTACATTATACCTGGACAAGATGCAAACTATTTGGGAGTTACATTATACCTGGACAAGACGCAAACTATTCATTTTCAAGCTTGTTAATAGCGGCTGATAGTGCTGCTATCATGGACGATTGCTATCATTTAACATGCCATAGCCATACAGTTTAAATTACTTGAGGCACAATTGTTTTAAAGCCGCTTATTCATTTGGGTTATACCTGCCTGCACAAAATGCAAACTATTTGGGAGTTACGTTATACCTGGACAAGATGCAAACTATTTGGGAGTTACATTATACCTGGACAAGACGCAAACTATTCATTTTCAAGCTTGTTAATAGTGGCTGATAGTGCTGCTATCATGGAGAATTGGTAGCAGCACCGCCGTTGAGACCTGATAGAATATGCTTTAGGGTATTGCAGCTGCCATGCTGCCAAATATATTCTAGGTAGGGGTGGGAATAGGCCAGGCCAACTAACACGGGCCTACGACCTAGCTTACACAGGTCTAGGCCAAGCCAGTTTCTTTTTTAAATAGAAAAGTCCTAGGCTTTTTTATAAGTCTATACAAGCCATAAAAAAACATTTTAAGCCTATCAAGCCGGTCTATTTATACAAAAATGAATAACTTTATTACTATTATATTATATTTTGTACTTTGAACTAAAATACAAAAATGAAACTTAGTTATAACTTATGAATACAAGTTGAAAAAACCTTGTAAACAATGTCATAACTTGTTATCATAAGTTGTTTTCATAAGTTCTCTCAAATAAATAATATCACAAAACTTATATTAATAGCTGAACTAAACTCGAGTATGTGAATGAAAACAAACATTTAGTCTCACTGATCTTTTAATTCGTTAGTCTATTTAACATTAGTCGAATTTATTATTTTCAAATGTTTAAATGAAGTAGGATTTTAAATAAGCTAGCACGCCAATCAGGCCTTTCAAAAGGCTGTACTCAGGCCTAAAAATAAGCCTATGATAGGTTACAGGCTTAGGCTTTAAATTTTTTAGCAGGGCAGAGTCATGCGTGGCAAACCTATCTCGGCCAAGCCTATTCCCACCTCTAATTCTAGGGTTATCTTTATGAAATGACTAGCTGGCTTGTTCTTTTGATTGGGAAAATAAAATGCTGATCTGATTTGGGAACCTCTAGTAATTTCCTAACTGTATAAAATATATAATAACACTTGCACAAACATGACGATAAATATAATTTATTAATATAGTATTAATAATTATTTATTAACTTATGTAATAAAATAATATTAATAAGATAAAATTATTATTTATAATCTTTATTATTGAATAATATTTGTATTAATATTATTCAATAAATATTAGAGATTAGAATAGTGGCTCTCCTGCCACATGCGACAGCACAATATTGAGGGTGAGTGGTTTGATATTGTTCACCATATGATAAAATAAAGGTTGAATGTGATGGCCGGTGAAAACATCTGTTCACGCAGCAGCTTAATGCATTTTGTTAAATGACATTTGGGAAGGTAGGGGTTAAAGGTCTCAAACTTAGGATTCTACTAGGAAATAGAAGGCTGGGGACGAGATGTAAAACAATAGATTCTAACATAGATATTTCGTTCCAACCAAGTACAATTTTATTCAATCAAATGTTGACCGTATCCAAGGTAGTCAAGCACGGGATCTTAAGTAGGATCGAACAATCTGTGAAAGATCGTAAAACTAGGATCGTAACACGACCTTAAGATCTTATTGAAGGGAGAAATGGTAATTTGACATACATATACACACACAAAAACTTGAAAATTATAATACATGAACAAAATAACCTATAAATCACTGAATTCAACCAATTAAATTTATAACTCATAACTATCATTCCATAATTTAACAAGTTCAAAAGACTTTGTTCAAAAAAGCAGTTCAAAAACATAAATCTAACAAACAAGTCTAATCATCTAAGATATTATGGATTCCCATATCTTGATAGTCATATGAAAGGCACTTTCAGTACGTAAGATCGTAAGATCTTAAGACCCAGCACTCGATCTTAACCACAAAATGCACGAAAAAAGTTTTTTTAAGATCGTAGCACTAAAGGGAAACTTCAGCACGTAAGATCTTAAGATCTTAAGACCCAGCACTCGATCTTGACTACACTGACCGTATCTGTAAGTAAACTAGCAAGCAAACACAACCATTAGCTTCAAATCAGTTCAATGAATAAGTAAACACAATACATATTTAGGAATGGTTATTGCTAAAATGGGGTCAGCATGTATTAAGGGATATGGATATTAGAGTAATCCATCCACGATAGTCTCAAGGTGATCACGATGATCACCAATGGATTCAAGAATATCAACAATTTGTTGAATTCGCCCTAGGTACTGAGCAATGGTTCTGTCACCTTTTTCCATGGTACGCAACTCAAACCGTAACTGACGAGACTTAGTATAAACTTGAGTCCTCTGAAATTGATCAATTACAATCCATACTTCATGAGCATGAACACACCTCACAACACGAGGAAGAACAACATCAGAGAGAGTAGTGAGGAGCCAAGTAAAGAGGAGAGAATCCTCTTGCTGCCACTGCACATATGCAGGATTTTCCAGATTTGAGGCACGATCATTGATAGAGAGATATCTAGGAGGAATATCAGGATTGGCAAGGTGACGATGAAGTTTGTGAATGCGAATTATACTTTCTACTTGCTGCTTCCAAGAGAGGAAGTTGTTGTTATCCAGCTTGATGGTGATGTGTTGCCCAAACGTTTTGAACGCATTCTTCAAATTTGAAGCTGCTGCGTTGGATGTTGAAGAAGACGGTGTACTACTTCCCGGAGTTGGAGGATCCGTGAAGAATGGTGGAGGATCAGAGACGGATGCCATGGCTGTGATGAATCACAAGCTCATGATACCATAATAGAGTTTTGGAAGAGAAGCATATTCAAGGAGAAGTAGTTTGTATTGATTTTAATTCTCAAATGAATTGATACAATGTTATGCTTTATATAGACAGCTAGCATAACAGAAAGTACAGCTCAGCATAACTAACTCTAACAGTTAGTTATGACTGATAATAGTTTTAGATTAAATGCTGCCAGGTCAGCATTACTAAACTACTCTAATCTATTGCTTTTACTCTAATAGTGGAGAGATGGGAGAATCTTGTCTGAACTGTATCGGGCTTGTCTGGAGAAGATTTATAGAAATCTTGATAAGAATCTAGATTTGATTGGTAGTAGGTTTATACCAATGAGTAAGAGGAGAAAATTTTGACCATACAATACAACTGTATATCTATTGTCGAATTAAAAATTATCTAATTGGTCACATAATCATATAAAAGTCACATGCTTTATGTTTTATCTTGGCCATTTGTGGTAAAACTTAATTGTCAATGTTTAGTTATTTACTTCTCCCACATGTAAAAATAGACCTCTGGCATTATGTGTGTATCAGGTGAGCACATGCTTTCATACGAGGAGTTAATTCTACTCAATATAGTGTAAAATGATATATAATGCTGTAGTATAAACTAATGCGTGCTTCTTTGAGTTCCAAGTTCAACTAAAGTTTCTTTTCTACGTATAGGAATCTTATCATGGTTATTATATATTATACTCATGCAGGCCCTGTTGGTGAAGACTTGTTTCATTGGCAAGCTACAATCATGGGACCAGCAGACAGTCCTTATGCTGGTGGTGTATTCCTAGTGACCATTCACTTCCCACCAGATTATCCATTTAAGCCACCAAAGGTAACTAACTAGTTTGCAATCTATGCTAATATATAATCATCTAAGTGTGTGTTTGGATTAGCGGTTGACATAATTGATTTTAACATAATTGAGTTTGGTAGAATTGAGTTTAGCAAAATTGATTAATGTTTGGATACATTTTGTAAAGTGAGTTGAAAAATAAATTTTAGTGTAAAAATCACGTTTAAACTTAGAAGCTACAAATTCTAGCTTCAAGTAGAATCAATTCTAGATGCAAAGTCAATTCTATTTTAGAAAAACCAAACACCTCAATCACTCCAGTAGCAATTCTACACCTCTAGATTGCTTTTGGCTCTTCCAAAAGTCAAACCAAACATACACTAAGATTCATGGTTTAAAATTTTGGTCCATGTCACGGATGCATGGATGCATTGTGAAGGTCAAACAAGGCTGATGCGGCTTTAATCGTGGCTGATGGTACTTCGGCTGATATATTTGATCTCTTATTTAAATTGCTTGTTTTGTAGTTTTAATTACTGTTTTGCCAACTATTATTTTATAGGTGGTCATGTCATTGCATCTAGCCATTTAAATATTGAGGCACGGTCTTTAGTGATTGTTTTTGTTATGAAACAAATATCAAAGCAGAACCTTCATGGTCTCTGTCATTGACATTGGCACACCATATTCTTGAATATTTGTTTGGCAACAAAAACATTCACTAAAGATTGTCAATGACATGAGCAAGCATATATCTTTAGTGACACAGTCCTTGTTGTACTGTTTTACTATTGACTGTTATATTTGTTATATACATTTCAATGTAGCACGGACACGATATAGGTATTGGATACAATATATATCTGATATGGCGATATGCCAATCATTGAAAAATCTAGGATACAATACGTTTAAGATACATATATAAAAATCTAAAATTAACCATTAGTTAAATCCTTTTCTAACAAAAACCAAATGAATTTGCAAAATTTGATTGTAATAATTGCTAAAGGAATTATGAGAAAAAGAAATCAATCTTGAAAAAGTGACCATGAGACAATATTAAATGGGTGCGTCACAAATTACATATGAGAGAAATGATTGCTAAAGTTGACAGAAAAGTAATTAAAGGGAAAGTTTGATTCTTGTCATAGAAAAATTAACAGTCATGAGGTAATTAAAGCTATAGAAAAAAATAATTAAGGAGGAGGAAATTTGATTCATGTTCTGGATATATGAGCAGTCATGAGATAAACTGTCTGTATTCATATCAAAGACGTAACGCCGGCGTATCAGAACGTAACAAATTTTTTTATTTTTTATCTTTTAAATAAAAAATTTAGATACTCCTTCGATACGATGCCACATATTATAGAGTATATGTGCTTCATTGTCTATAGTATGCTTTTGACCTTTATTGTTCTTCTGATTTCTTGAGGAATGAAGTCCAATTTATGCTTGTTTCTTTGATTATGTTGAAAATAATGTTTTTGTAGGTTTAAGTTGGTTAAATTATTCACAATGTGGCTTTTGTAGGTTTCCTTCCGAACAAAAGTGTTTCATCCTAACATAAACAGCAATGGAAGTATCTGTCTTGATATTCTGAAAGAACAGTGGAGCCCGGCTCTTACTGTTTCCAAGGTATGAGACTATGGCCCGATTGGGATTAACTTCTGATTGATGTGAGCTTTACCATCTAAATATCTATGGCTTTTTACTTCACGAAAAAAGTGATAGGTTAAATGGTAGAGATTTTGAGAAAGTTAAATTCAGTTCATAAGCAAAGCTACTGCTTGATAATCTCTGGTTATTGTAACTTTTTTTAAAGATTTCTTTATCATAATAGTTATGGCAATACTCTATTAGTTATTCACATGTTGCCTATGCCTTGTCGTAATATTTCCTTGCCCAACTTAACCAATTTCTTTATTGATTATTGATTATTGATTATTGCAGTAGGGAATTATGGATTTAAGATCTATGTTATATCGTTGCAGGTGCTGCTGTCCATTTGCTCCCTGCTAACAGATCCAAACCCAGAAGATCCTTTGGTGCCTGATATTGCCCACATGTACAAGACTGACAAAGCCAAGTATGAAAGTACTGCCCGGTCTTGGACCCAGAAATATGCAATGAACTAGCACAATGAGTAAAGGTTTTACTGGACTCTTTATGTGGGGGAAAATGTTGTTTGGGGATGCCTGCTGGGTATATATATACATAACATATATAGTGCATCTGCTCTGTTACTATAATAATAATCCAAACTCCAGAAATTTTAAGCCTTGAAGTTAATATTTAATATTGTTTTAATTTTAATATTTTGATTATACTAGTAATATTACTAAACTGAATTGCATTGCACTATAAAAAAACTGAACCATTTAATTCAAATATTTCTAATTTAGTTTAAAATGGTTCATAATACAACTGCTTTAACTATATAAATAAGTTTTTCACAGAACTTTCCCCCAAAATTTAATATTTTTATTCTAAAAAAGTATTTTATTCAGATTTTTTTTTGAAAAATATAAAAAATTATTATTTTTTCTTTTATTCTGAATTTTTTATTCGAAAAATTAAATTAAATTATTTATGAAAAATAAAAAATAATTTTTTTCGAAAAATTATAAGAAATTAAAAGATTACTATTTTTTTGAATAAATTTTCAAATATTATAATTTTTTTAAAATTAAAATTTATTTATCAAATTAAAACAAATATTTTTAAAAAAGTTCAAATTATAAAATTGGTTTATAATTGCAAATTGATTATAAACTATTTTATAAACACAAACTGATTCTAAATTAATTTTAAACTAAATTGAAACAATTTTAGCAATTAATTGTATTTTTATTTAGATGTTTATAACCACGAATACCCATGTCAAAGTGCTAGTTAAAGTCTCAACAACGATGTATGTTTTGGGGTTGGCGGCATGAAAAGACACATTACCCATTCGCCCATTCGATGATAAATAACCACCTAAATAGTAGATTAGGTATATAACATTATAGTGTTTGCGTTAAGTGTAATTTGAAATAAATTTAAGGTTTAAATATCTATTTGTTCTCTGTAAGTTATTTGAAATAAATTTAAGGTTTAAATAGCTATTTGGTCTCTATAAGTTAGTGAGATTTTGAATTTAGTCGCAATATCTTTTTTTTTGGTCTGAGTCCTTATAACTCAATTTTGCGTTGCATTTACTCCCTGACGTTAGCCTTTTGTTAAAAAAACGTTGACTATGTAAACGGTGCTTACGTGAAAATTGCTTATGCGTGTTTTTCATTTTTATCTGATGTAGACGTGAAAATGCATGTGAAAGAGAATCACATTTTGCATTTTGTCAATTCTTCTTCGTCTCATCTCCTTCTCAAGAATATTAAAAATTTACCAAGAGTCAATCATGACAACATCTTCTGTTGAGAATTTTGTTGAGTATGAAATTCTATTTTGTGGTTGCAACAATGCTTTGAGAATGTTCATTTCAAACTCAACTGAAAACCCTAAGAAAAGATTCTGAAAGTGTTCAAATTTGAGATTAGGTTGCAAGCTTTTCATTTATGATGATGAACTTGAACGCCACATTAAATGAACACAAACATCCAATTGGATGCAATTGCTCAGAGGTAGTTTAGGAATTAAGGTGCATCATTAAAGGTCTTGAAGCTTGGAAAAAGAGAAGATGAAAATGAAGTTGGAAAACGAAAGGAAGAAGGCCAAAATGTTGAAGCTGTTGTTGACTCTTTCATGTTGTTTCTTTTTTGCTTACCAGAAATGGTAGTGATTCATGGAGTCTGTAATTTGTCTTTTTTGTTTTAGTTTTAGTCCCTATAAGAATATTGGTTGTTAAAATGCGTTCTTGTAATGCTACATCATGTAATGAATCAAAAGTAATGTTATTTTTGAATTCAGTACCTAAATATTTGTTACTTATTGTTTTGCATCCCTTTGCCTTTTTGAAATGATTGTATTACATCATAAAGGCATAACATAACTTATTGTTACTTATTGCTTTACAATCTTTTAGTTAACATTGCATAACATAAAGACATAGAAAAGTGATCTCAAAATATAGGCAAAACACACCACACATAAATCAAAAGATGTCTCATATAGCCAAAAGGCATATAAAGTTGTTACATAGTACAACAAATTCACACCTAAGCACAAACCATAAAGGTGCGATATGTCTCAAAAGTAAATAAAGGTAAAGGTCATAGACTTATGTCTAACATTACAATACATACACACCAAACATATTAAAAAGGCATCATAATACACAATGACAACGTGGTTATGGTTCCTTGTCCACATCCATAGGCTGTGATGAATTACTTCCTTCTCCTTTCATGTTTTTGCACCTTGGGACCCTTGTTCTATTACTTTTGCTAAAATCCAATTTCCTTGCAACTTGTGGTTTATTTTTTGTCTTCATCATCTTCTTCTTTTATAAAATGTAGGGTCAATATTAGAGTTGTCATACATCATTAGAATAAAACCAAATTATTAGGAAATGATACAATATACTCAACTGTTTTAAGAACCTTTGTAGTAGTAGGCACAGATGCAATAGGCATATTGTCAGATGATGCAACAGGTTGTGAAGTTGAAACAGGTTCAGATGATGTAACAGGTTGTGAAGTTGCAACAGGTTCAAATGATGTAACAGTTTGTAAAGATGCAACAGGTACTGATGATGTAACAGGTTCATTTTGTGCAGATGATGCAACAGGTTCAGTAACAACAAGATTAGATTATATTTGAGTTGCCTCAAATGCTGCTACAAGATTTGCAGCAAGCATTTCAAACTCAGGGTCAACTTCAATTTGAGTCTCAACTTGAGTCTCAGTAGTTTGCGTCTGACCTTGTCCTTGAACTGATGCAGATTGAGTTTGACTATGTCCTTGTCCTAGTGCAGTCTTCTTTGGCTTTCACTGGATAAATAAAGCGTAGTCAAGTAATTGACATTAACAATGAGAATAATAAGATATGCAAACTTATAGCAAATTCAATACCTTGCATTTTTGAGCTTCAGGGTCAACCACTTGACTAGTACTATTTCTTGCATTATGACCATGTACACCACATCTAGTGCAACAATAAGTGGTTTGTGTTCTTACTTTACTAGGGCCCTTATCAGGTTCCCTCCTCCTCAACTTCTTTGGTCTGCCATGTTCTCTTTTATAGGCTGGAGGCAACATCTCTTCCATGTCAACCTCTGGCCACATGTCTTGTGCATAATAGACTTACACTAAAGCTATATCATTTCTCATAGGTTTCTTTCGAATAACAATCATCAACATAATCTTCTGGGCATTGGTTCTTAAAACCTAATGCAGCTACTACACGTCTACAATGAATGACTACAAGTTCCCAAAAATTACGTGTGCAAGTTTTCTCTGCAACATCCCCAATAAAACTATTCTTGGTATGTATATGTTCCACTTGCCATAATGCATCACCAGACCAGTTAGGAATCCAATTCCCTGCATGTTCCACTTTCATATCCAGCCTGAGTCTAGGCCTAGGCATTATCCTATGATTCCATCTATCAACCTTTTCTCTTAAGCTTTCATTCCTATTCATGAGATAGTTTCTTATCCATTCACACATAATCAATATTGATTTATCCCTTACAACTAAGATAGTGCTATTAAACGCCTCAGATACATTATTCATTAGAACATCACATCTAGGATAAAAAGAGAATGTATGCTTACACCATGCTTTAGTAGGTATGTCTGATATCCATTCCCAAGCCTTCACATTACGATCCTTCATCTCTTTCATTTTATCCTCCCATGCTTTGATATATGTGGCTTTGACAGATGCCATCATCAAGTCTCTAATTTGTGTACCTCCACCAAACTTCTTTTTAAAATTGGCATATAAATGCCTAAGACAAAGTCTATGTTCCACCGTCTCTAACAATTCTTCAAACACTAGTATCAAACCCTGCAAATTTAGGGATGAAATACAAAAACACCTTAACACGGTTAGGGATGCAATCCAAAAAAATGAACAAAATCAGGGATGAAATTCAAAAAATTGACATAATCAGGGATTAGATCCAAAAAACATAACAACTGCTTTTGCTGGTCAGAGATGAAAGCCTGTCGCTTCCGCGAAAATAAGGTGCCGACAAAACATAAGAGTCGCCACCTTTCGTTATTTATCCCTCGGAACGGGAAAGGAAACGATCGGAAAAACCTGACGAAAAGGTATAAGACAAGGTCATCGCAACCGTTGTCTGGGTTCGGGAGTCGGTTACGCAAGGGGAAGGTATTAGCACCCCTCACGTCCGTCGTACTCGACGGGATCCACGCTTGTTGTGTTTACTGGACGAGTTGGTTTATCTATCTACCTATCAAGGCTGGTCTGAAAAGAGAAGAAAATGACTCGGCAAAGCGTCACGCTTTATGCCTACGTATTCTCATCAGAGAATGAGAAATCAGAGTCAACGTAGTTCGACTTACTACGGGTTACGGGGAAAGGTGGCTCGCCAATACGTCAGTATTGTGCCTACGTACTCTCAACAGGTATGAGAGATCAGAGCTTACGTAGTTCGGGATACTACGGATTACGGGAATTCAGATTCATCTGTTTTATCGAGTAGGGTTAACCAACAGTTCCAGCAGTTAGGGACAAAGCCTGTTTGTGGTGGCGCTGAAGTTTAACGACACTCTTTTCTTCAGAAAAGCTTCCTTTGAATTATGGGCCCACGGGGCAAAAAGGTTTGAAGTTTGTTTTCTGTCTTTTACGAAAGAACTATTTTTTATTGTGTTTGCAATTTCAATCGCACTAAAGACTATGACCTGAGAGTGAATGCGTCGCATGTCATCCAAAGGGTGCCATACTAAACATCCAGACTGTTGAAAAGAAGCTCTCCAACAATCCTTTCTCAGATAGCTTAAGGATCGTAACATACGAAAGAAATCATTCATGATTACTGTATCTTAAGTTGTTTTGAGATGAGAAGAGAACAGGCTCAACTAAAGGGAGACTATCAAGTCCTACTGTTGTCATGCCAAGGATTCATCCTATGGTTGAGGTTTGAAACAGGGAACTCCTAGAAGTTATCATGCATAGGTTTCAACCTAAAGTTCTGTCATCACTTCCTTATCCAAGGAAGTGAGATTCCTAGGGGATCATGTCAATGATAAACAGAAACAGATAAAGCATCAGCTTAAACCGTAAACAGTAAACGACTGTAACATGCATGCAATGCAAGTGAGGGAGGAAATGTGTGTGGGGCAGCAGCCTCCACAAGCTCATCTCAACCTCAAGCCAGATATGAATAACTGCAATCGTACAGGAAATAACATGCTATCAAGCAAGATATAATAAACTGCAATCATACAGAAGAAATAACATGCTATCAAGCAAAATAACAAACCACATAGGCAAGGGAGCTAGGCTCTACCGAATACCCGCAAGCAAAGCCATACAGTAACAATACAAGCAGAGGGAGCAACTCAACCTCTAGTGCAATCATGCTCCTAGCTTACAGTCAGTCTAGATATGAACTTATTCTAATGAATCAAGCAAGTCAAATAAGGCACATCAGCACAGAAAAGAAAACAAACAAGAGAGAAAGCAGATCAACCCCTCCTTCAACTTCAAGCTTCAGCTCTTCTGACAGCAATCCAGTCTTCAGACTTCAACCCCCCTTCAAGGCTATCATCCTCAATAACAAGCATCAACTTTCTCCTCCAAGGTTTTAATCCATCCAACATAAGTATCAACTTATTCTCTCTTCTCCAAGCTTCAGCTCCTTAGTCAATTCCACCTTCAGGCTTCACTCTTAGCTACAAGTATCAACTTGATTCCTTCAGGCTCTCCAAGCATTAGTGTAAGTGTCAACTTCCTTTATTCCTCAAGCCTCAGCTCTACACTCAATCTCAATGGAATCCTCTTCATAAGTATCAACTTGGTCTTCTTCTCCTACAAGCTTCAGCTTCTCAGAGTAATCTTCAATCACCTGGAAGTGTCAACTTCATCCTTCAATTCTTTTTCAAGCCTCAGCTCTTCATTCAATCTCCATTGGGTCTTCAAGTATCAACTTGCTCTTCTTGCTCTTCAAGCTTCAGCTGCAATGGCAATGCTCAAGGAATCATCCTCTTCCACACTCTTCAATGAAGTCCTCATCTTCAAACTCAAGTCTAACATCTTTCAAGATACTCAAACCAGAAGACAATTGATTTAACAGAATGAGTGGAAATGATAAACAGCTTATTGACAACCAAAGGAAGCCTGTAAGGGTTCATCATTATGAGAGACTGGTTCTCTCAAAGTTCTACTTCCCAGATAAAGCCACTCATCCCTCCAAAGGAGAGATGTGATTATCTTAGAAGGACTTTTAGTCATTGGGAGGAATGGAAACACAAGATGCTTTCCATATTTGTGGAAGAAATCATTCTAGTTATAAGGCTCTCCCTATGGCTCCTACCTCCTAAATCTTCATCAGACACCTTCAGGCACAAGCAACTCCAAGCTCCAAGCAACTTCAAGCAACTCCACCTTGCCTTCAACTTGTCTTCAATCTCAACCAAAGGCACACAAAGCAAAACCCTAATCTAAGGGGATAAAAAAAGGTTAATCTAGTTGAGTTAGTAAGTTAGGATCACCTAAAACCTAGTACTAAAGTTAGTCCTAACTAAAATACTAAAACCAATTGTAAAATCCTACAAAAATAACTATGGGAACCTAGGTCAATCATGACTCTACCATATTAATTCCAGAGATCCAATCATCAAATAAGACCTAGCAATACTATAAGGTACTAAATCTAAACCCTAAAAGGAAGCACCTAAATCTCAATCTAGAAAGCACACCTATTTTCATCACAAAAATGTGAGAAAAATGCTATGGGAGCATACATGTCTAACCTAATCACACACAAAAAATCAGGATCAAAGTCATCACCACATGATCACACAAAATTCCACAAAATTAAGTATCAAACATAACCATTTTAATATCAATTAAAATGTAAAATTCCCATAACATCAGAAAATGCATGAAATGCAAATATTTTTTATCTAAAAAATACTAGACTCAATCATGAGTATAATGCAAAAAGAATGGGTTTAATTGGATCATTTTTCAATTTTATATGATTTTATCAAGAACCATGAATAAAATGTAAAAAATAATGAAATCAAAATAAAATGGACAAGCACACGGTGCAGATAGAAACTAAAATCAGTTCAAATAACGGATTGGGCCCTGAGGGGGGTGTGGATAACAAAGTTTCAACTAAGCCCAAAACCAGCTGATTAATGAAACGTTGCGTTTCATAATCAGAACTCCTTCACAAATTAAAATCAATACGTGGCCGTTGGATCATGCCTTCAGTCAAAGTCCAACCAATATCTGATGGCTCTAGAGTCATCTTCTCCAATTCAAACCTCTGAAACTCGCGCGCAGCTCCGGCCACCACCGGTGGTGCTCCGGTCACCATTCCACAACCCTAGTTCAACATAGAGTCCACCATAGGCCACGATCCCTTAACGAAACATGTCCCAAATTCCCTCACGAATTCATTCATGCCTTTAATTCTCTCTGAAACCTCAAGATTCACAAGAACCAATCCTCAACCGAAAATGGTAACACACCTATTTTGTCTCTAATTCTCAAATTAACTATCTGAAAACCTTCCTACACCGTTCTACAATGCATCTAACACCCTAATTCATCTTGATTCTACCTAATTCATGCTGGAGGAAGAAAGTTACTAACTTGAAAATTTTTGATGAACAGATGCACTAAACCTTCAAATCAAGCTCTACAACCTTCCAGACACGATCAATGGATCCTTTCCTTGCTTCTGTATGCAATAGAACCGGTTGAAAACTCCTGAATCTTGAAACCCGATGGTGAGTTGCAGATGGAAAAATCTATGCTCAAGAACACCAATCAGCCACGAATTCCCTTGGGTTATGATCTGGAATCAATCCCTAGCATCCATGGAAGAAGTTGCAATCAAGAAAATGGATGGAAAGTGAAGGAATTGGTGAAACCGAATTCAGTTGCAAGCTATGCAATTTCAATCTCAATCTATGCTCTCTCCTTCAATCATCACCAACCTTTGCATTGGATCACCTCTACTCAATATATAGATGATGTATGGATGATCTAGATCCCTCTAGATCCTTCTAATGAGAGTTTCAATCTCTCATGACATGAGAATTTCAACCATATGCCATGATATGCATAATTCTGTTTGCAGCTTGAAACCAACCCCATTCTCTTCCAATTTCTCCCCTAGTGACATTTTGAAAGTGTTTAGCTTGCAAAGGGCCTTGGTTATGCCTTGATTCTATGTTTTGCAAATGTTACTTATGATGTAAGTAATCACTTTTCAAAGCAAGTCCACCAATTGAATTTCAATTCAAAAATGTGGCTAAACCAATGTTCTTAAAATGTTTTCTAGAGTCAAAATGATATATTACATGCCATGGTTTGGATGTGTAGATTGAAAATATCAATTTCCAACTTTGATTCATTTAACTTATACCCTTATTTTAGGTCATTTTTGCAACTTTAAGCTACAAGCATTTCCAACATCTCATGACCTAATTACTAGCCTTAAAAAATCATTTTGAACAAGTTTGATGTTGAACATTTTTCCATTTGAAGCTTGGAAATAGGAGTTATGGTCTTATGATTGAAATGAC